GCCCGCCGCTCCGAAGCTGGGGCCGCAGCGCCCCGCAGCGGCCGGCCGGGGTACGGCGGGGGCCGGGGGGAGGTGGAGCCCCCAAGACCCTGGGGCGGTTCCTAGTCCCCAGCTGGGGCCGCTGCCGGTTCTGCTCCCGCCCGAGAGGCCTCTGAAGACCGGGAGGAAAGGGGGCTGCAGTGGGGTGAGGTTTTCCGGGCAGGAGTTGCCAGGAGGTTTATTGGAGGGAGAGGGGAATTGGCCTCAACCCGTGGCCAAGTGGATATGTCAATGTATTCGTAGTTCACTTAACTGGACGGCTCAGTGGAAGATGAGCAACAGCAGGGATGAATGATCCAGATCATTAGAGAGCTGGAGAGGGGAAAGGAAGCCTTTATTCCAAACAGCTTGTCTGTTAGTCTGTCGGAACTGTCGCATATGAAACAGGCAAAAGCATGGAGCTTTCCTGACTCCTATGTTCAAATCACACTTTACATATCGTTAACTCCGTCTGTTTTTGTCTGTTTTTCACAGTTACTTCTTCAGTATCTACAAGAGTTCCCTAAACATAGACAGCCTTCAATAAATTATTGTTGAATGAATGTAGGAATGAATGGGACCCCATTCAACCTTTGAAGTAGCATGGCACGTATCTGCTCTCCAAACACAGAGAGCTGGAGGGCGAGGCGCAACCCTGGAATGGAGTTTCCGTCTTCTCTGAGGTATGCGACAAGCTTATTTTGAACCTGATTTTTCTTATCCCCTCTGAAATAGGCCTGCGTTCCAGCGGAAAAGAAACATGATGATCTTCTCCACTTTCTTAAGATATTTGTCTCCCTCTGTCCTTCAGGGAGCATGAGGGGGTAGAAATCCACACAACCCCTGCCCACACCAGGAAGGGGAAGTATTGTCCTCTGCTACTTCAGAACTTCCCCCAACCCCATTGTCACAGCTGCAGTTTTACTTGGCAGAGTGAGAAGCCTCTCTTCTGAGTGTCCCTTGGCCTTCTTCAGATTTGTTCCCCATCCCTGTCACTCCCCATCTAGAGCTGTTAGGAGAACACATTTCCTTTTCCTGCCTGTCAGTAGCTCTGGATTTCTCTCCAGGCAGGTCACCACCGAGTTCTAGGTGAACCCCCCAAGTCAAAGTATGTACGCATGACCTTTCAGGCTGATCATTTCTTTCTTACACTTCTCTGGATTAAAAAGTTTTCCTAGCTAGTCCCTTGAACAAACTGTATCCAAAGATACAGGCTACTCCGTTCCTCTGGGAAGCTTTTATAACATCACCATCAAGTCTCAATGAGATGGAGTTTTAAGTTACATTTGTGGGCAGCCAGAGCAATCTCATTAATTCTGCTGAAAGGAACAGAAAGCCCAAGCCAGCCGGTAAGACATATGACTGCTCCTGGGAGCTGACTGGTCTGCAGTTGTTCCCAGACCTTGATTAATGGGAGTTCCTGGCAAGGGGCCTCACGAGAGCCAAAGCAGGCAGTGGGTGAGCTGCTTGGAGATCTTGCTTGCTCATCTCCCAGTCAGCACACAGTCTTTGTGCAACTAATGAAAGGAGACTGCTAAACCTCCCTCTGTCTGAGGAAGGCTCCCAGCCTGCAGTTCTGGTCTTGCCCCTCTCTGTTCATCTCCATCACAGCCAGCCTAATCCATCCTCCCCACCAGCCCCTCCTTCTGCCTCGTGAGAAAGAAGTCTGCTCTGCCAATAATTTTCACTGCTCTGTGAGAATATAATCTGCTCCTATTTCCAGCAACATTTCTTTAATGAGTTGACTGCACTAGCTGTCTTTCATGTCCTTAACTTCAATCCATCTTTTAGCCCACCATTCTGGCTTCTAGCCCTGCCACTCCCTGAAACTGCCCTTGCTAAGGCTTCCACTCAAGAAATCTTCCGTGATCACATCCTCCTTCTCTAGAGGAAACCACCATCCTGAATTTTATGTTAATACTTTTCTTTTCTTTTTTTTGCTGAGGAAGATTGGCCCTGGGCTAACATCCATGCCCATCCTTCTCTACTTTATATGTGGGACCCCTGCCATAGCATGGCTTGATAAGCAGTGCATATGTCTGTGCCTGGGATCTGAACCTGTGAACTCCAGGCCACCCAAGTGGAGCTCAAGAACTTAACTACTACATCACTGGGCCGGCCCCTTAATAATGTTCTTATCACAAATACATATATGTATCTCTAAATATATACATTGTTCAGTTTTGCCTGTTTTTGAACTTTTTGTAAATGGAATTGTTCTGCGTGATTTCTATGCAGCTTGCTTTTTTCGCTCAGCATTCTGTTTCTGAGAGTCAACTATTCAATTTCTCTGCTATATAGTATTTCACTGTGAGAAGATACTACAATTTATTTACCCAGTTTACTTTTGACATTGGGCTGGCTCCGGTTTTTGCTATTACAGACAATGTTGCTATAACATTCTTTTTTGTGTGTGTGTGTGTGAGGAAGATCAGCCCTGAGCTAACATCTGCCAAACCTCCTCTTTTTGCTGAAGAAGACTGGCCGTGGGCTAACATCCGTGCCCGTCTTCCTCCACTTTATATGGGACACTGCCACAGCATGGCTTGCCAAGCGGTGCGTCGGTGTGTGCCTGGGACCCGAACCGGCCAACCCTGGGCCGCCACAGCGGAGCACGCGCACTTAACCACTTGCACCACCAGGCCGGCCCGCTATAACATTCTTAAGTATTTCTCCTGATGCTTGTGTGCGGGAGTTTTTAGGATATATATCTAGAAGCGGACTTGTTGGGTCTGAAGGTATGTGTTCAGATTTACTAGGCAATACCAAATTGTTTTCTAAACCAGTTGTACCAATTTTTATTCTCATCAGCAGTGTATGAAAGTCCCCTTGCTCCACATCTTTGCCAGGGCTTGTTTTTTTGTATGAAATGATTTCTTATTATGGTTGTGATTTTTAGTTCCCCAATTGCCAGTACAATTGAGCATCTTTAACGTTTAATGACTTTTCTTGTTTTCTCTTTTGTTAATGTGTCATGTCTTTTGCCCTGTTTCATATGTTTTGAGAAATCCTTCCTGACTCTTAGGATATAAAAATATTCTCCCATATTTACTTCTAAAAGTTTTAAAGTTTTGCCTTTCACATTTAAGTCCATATTCCATCTGAAATTCACTTCTCCTCTCATTTGCAATACCAGAGCTATCTTATAATGGGTTTCCATGTATGCATGGGTCTGTTTTAGGTTCACCATTTTGTTCTATTTGCCAACCACTGTGCTGGTACCATACAGCCTGAAAGTTTGTGGGTTTGTGTTAAATCTTGATTTCTGATCATGGAAGTCCTACCCTGACTTAATTCTTTTTCTTCTTCATAAAGATCTGAAGTATTCTTAGCCTTTTGCTCTTCTATAGGCGTTTTAGAATTAGCTTGTCAGGCTCCATGAAAAATTTGGGATTTTGGTTTGGAATTGTGGTGGATTGCATTATTCAGTCACAATTATTTGTTCCCTTCCCACCTCTACCATGCTTTCCTATAGTGGTGTAGACTCCTCTGCCCCACTCATTTGGGGCTTCTGTGACTTGGTTTGACCAACACATGTTGGAGCAGAAACTTCAAATATGTTGCATGCTTTAGTGCTCCCTCCTTGAGATTTTGTCCTCAGCCATGAGACTATCATGGCCCAAAGAGTGGCTGCTCCTTCAGCTGGGATCCCAGAATGAGAGGACACATGGAATCATGCAGAGCCCAGTATGGCTACAGGCAGTCTGCAGCCCTCATGTAACGGGAACAAAAAAGTAAATTGTTTACTGATACTGCAATTTGGAGAGAGTTGATATCTTTATACTTTTGAATCTTCCTATCTATGAACATGTTTGACATGTCTGTCCATTTATTAGAATTTTAGTGACTTAAAAAGTTTTTACAACTTTTCATTTTCTGAAATTTATTCTTAATTATCTTTTTTGTTACTATTGCAAATCATATCTTCTCTAAAAATGCATTTTCTAACCCATTTTGTTATTAATAAGAAAAATGCAAATATCTTTGTTTATTGAGCTTATATCCAGCAACATTGCTAAATTCTGTTATTAATTTTAGTAATTTGTAGATTCTTTAGTTTTCTATGCACCTGCAAGTAATGATATTTTATTTGTTCCTTTCCAATCCTTATATCTTTAAAAAAATGTATTTTGAAGTAATTACAGATTCACAAGAAATTGCAAAAACAGTATGGGGAGGTCCTGTGTACTCCTCACCCAGTTTCCCCCCAATGGTTACATCTTGTATAACTGTTGTATAATATCAAAACCAGGACATTGGTACAATGTGTGTATATAGCTCTATGCCATTTTATCACGTGTGTAGCTTCATGTAACCACCATCACAATCAAGATACAGAACCATGCCTTTACCACAAAGAAGCTTCCTCATACCACTCCATTACAGTCACACCCAACCCCCTCCCCCACACTATCCCTAATCCCTGACAACCACTAATCTGTTTCCACCTCTATAATTTTGTCATTTCAAGAATGTTATATAAATGGAATCATACACAATGTGAACTTTTGAGACTGGCTTTTTTTCACTCAGCATAAATGCTCTTGTAATCCATCCAAGTTGTTGCATGTATCATTAGTTCATTCTTTTCGTTGCTGAGTAGTATTCCATGGTACGGATGTACCACGGTTTGTTTAACCATCTGTTGAAAGGCATCTGGGTCATTTACAGTTTTTGGTTGTTATGAATAAAGCTGCTGTAAACAATTGTGTACAGGTTTTTATATGAACATAAGTTTTTATTTCTCTGAGATAAGTGTCCATAGGGGCAAGTGCTGGATTGTACAGTAGTTGCATTGTTTAATTTTATAAGAAACTACCAAACTATTTTTCAGAATAGCTATATCATTTTATACTCCCACCACTG